CTGTCAGCTTGGGGACACAGGGAGCTGCACTGCCTGGGTACCTACCCATGAGCCTGGGCTGCTGTGCTCCCTCAAACCCCCTCCTTAAACCAGAAGGGTTCTATTTAAAAACAGGTCTCTCGCTGGAGTCCAGACACCTCTTTCTTCCTGCTATTTGAAAACCAAGATGAAGAAACACGGGGGCTGGGGGGGGGAGGGAGGGTGTGGAAGGCCAGGCACGACCTCCTCCTTGGCAGGTAATAGCTCCTGTGAGGACTCCCCCCTTGGAGATACCCAGTGAATCCCCCAGCAACTCAGCAAGGACTGGGATGGGCAGGAGGAACTGCAGACCCTGCTCACACTGCCAGGACCAAGGCACACAGAAAGCCTGAGCTTTGGAAGCCTCCAGAGGCTCCTCACTCAGAGATTAAGGAAAACAGCCAAAGACCTTTGTAAACCTCAGCTTAAGCTCTTCTGAAGAGACTCAGGCTCTTTTCTGCTAAGCCTTGGCCAGAACAGGTCACCCTCCCAGAGGACAGTACTGCTGGTGACAGCCTGTGACATCCAGCTGCTCCCCCAGGAATCCTGCCCACTCGGTGTGCAGGGCTGGGGAACAACTTCACTCTCTCCAATGACTGTAAGCAGGATGGGACAGAAAGCTCAAAACCATTCTGGGGTCTCTAAGAAGCCTGGCAGCTCCTCCAGTGTCACAGCAGAGGCTGTTCCCAGCCTCTGGAAGTCCCTTGCACAGGCACCAAACCATTTCAAATCAAGCCCCAGAGGTACAAGCACTGCCAAGGGGAGGTGCAGGCAGCAAGTCACCCGGAGCTGGGAGCCTTGCCGGCAGCCAGGCCAGCTCCAGCTGGCAGGGAGCAGCTCCAGGCACAGCAAGGAGCTGGGATGGCTCCTCCCAGGCCCTTCCCTCCCTCCCTACCTGCCGTGCGGGTCCCCTCCCGGCTCCTCGTCCCGCCCCCAGCCGCAGTTGGACATGGCGTAGTGCAGGATGGCTCCGGTCACCGTCTGCGGGCCCTGGCCCTGCACACACGCCTCGATCTCGGGCACGGAGAGCTGGCTCTGCAGGAAAAGGTGCAGCCGGCTGTCGGAGAGGAGCACCACGTTCTGCACCACCCTGCGCACACACAGAGAGGGGGAGGCTGAGCCAGGGGTGCAGCCAGAACACGCTGAGTTCGACCCCGCAGCACCGCGGGGAGCAGCAGCAGCTCTGCTGCCACCTCTGCTGGGCCGGGAGCAGCGTGTCCCTCCCCCTCCGTCCAGTCCAGCCCTTCCAAACGCCACACTCACTTCTCCAGGAACTGCTGCAGCCCCTGCCTCCTCTTCTCGATGAACTCATCCGTGCTGCCCACGAAGAAAGTGGATTTCCCGGGCAGCTCTGGGACAGGCCTGCAGGGCAGAGGCAGCAGGTCAGGTCATCCCAGAAACACGGGGACAACGTGGCAGCAGGTATCCCCTGTTTGTGTCTGGAGTTTCTACCCACATCTTTCAGAGAACAGTGGGGGACAGTGCCTGGCTGTGGGAGGGGGCAGCAGGGAGCAGGAGGGATACTCACACCAAGCCAGCATTCTTCTGGAGCTGCCTCCTCAGCCACACGAACTCACGGTACCGGCGCCGCACGCATGAGGTCTTGGCAGTGAAGGCCTTGCTGTTGGTCTGGAAAGAAAAACCCACCGTGGAAATAATCCACGTCCTGGAGGGGCAGCAGGGCAGGATGTCACCTGCACAGTCCCCTGAGCTCAGCTGCTAAGGGATCCCCTCAAGACATGGGGCTTTTTAGGGCTTGGAGTGCCTGGAAGAGCCCAGCAGGCTCCAGGGGAGAAGTTGGGTCTGAGACCCCCACAGAGACAGTGCAGAGGGCTGGGGGGGCTGCTGAGGGCCCCCCCCAGGGGCTGCCTCCACCCCCCACCCAGACACAGCCCCGTGTATAGCACCAGTGAGCCCCTGAGCTCCTCCCCCTGAACTCACGTGCAGGAAGATTTTATAATCCACATAGGAATTCCAGGAGCCCTCGTTCTGCACCCGCGGGTCCTGCACGCGCACCGTGGTCAGCTCCTGTGGGAAAACCCCGTGGGAAAACTGCCCCAGGATCACCCCCCCCTTGGCAGGGCT